GTTCAACTACTTTCCACAATTCATGAAAAAATAATAATTGGAAAGTTAAAATTAAAGGATTCAAGGGGAAGTTGTTTTAAGATCACAATATAATTCAATACAAAATTTGTAATTCATATATTTCAATTCCCTGTATGAGGAATGATATCCTGCAGGGATTGGGTGATTTAGGAGAACAGAATTTAGGAGATTTCGGGGTCAAGCTTTTCATTAATCAACAGAGAAACGTTGATCACATGACAGGGAATACTACAGATATTTTGTATCATAGATTTATAACAATACAGATAGAACACTAGATGTCGTCTTTTCAAGATTTAGGGGGTTTTTGTTCACAATAACCCTGAGGCAGAAACCCAAAGATGTTACGCACATGCCGCGTTGAATGACAAGACAGAGAATGAGCATGCGCGTAACTTTGTTGTATCTGCATTGTTATTAATCTATGTTTTGTATCCTCTACAGCATCACTATAATCAGCAGAGGAAGACATCGAATCATTTTCAGATTTTTTTAATGGTTTTAACCAAATTAAGCACCTTATCAGATCAAAGTCACTCCAAGAGTATTCATTGCTAAATATAGGAATTGAGTCTTTGCCACATACTCAAATTTTCTAATCCCTATATCTTTGCCAATGAGGACGTACTCCTTTGATATTTTAAACTAAGATTATTTCATCTAGCATAATTCATAGTTTGAAATAACTAAGGTCTACGACAATGGATTGCAAAGATATAGGTCTGAGAAAATCAGAGTTTGTGGCAAAGACTCAATTCCTTTATTGCATTGAAATTGTGATTTTTAAAAATCCAGCCTCGTTATACAAATATTTATATTTAAGTTTTAAATTGAAATAATGACAATTCTTTTTAATGCAATCTGAGGTAATGAGAGTTAATATTGTGATTTTTTTCATCTTTTCTTATTCATTAGACTACCCCCCAAACAATTTGTCTCGGTGCCCACAACGCGTAAAATGATGTAAAATTTTCTTTGTATAAATTAAAGCAGTTTATAAACTGAACACACAATTAATTAATCTTTAATAAACTTCTAAAATTTCCGATCTTTCTCGTAGTGCGGCAGGATTGTTAAAAATTGCAATTTCAATGTTCTAAATGTATTATTTAAAAACGTATTAACTGCCGGAAGTCTCAAATGCTGTGGCATTGAGGGCCGTATGGTTGTGGCACATAACTACCGTAAGACAAGAAGACAATATGTGGCATGGAAGGGGAAAATGTTGTGGCTTTAGGCCACCTGCCTTCCTCAGCTCCTGTGGTTAGTATCACAGAGAATCTTTATAGAGGTTTCGTGATTTATAAATATATATATACAGGGTAATCCACAAAAGATGAGACTGTAAAGACGACCTAAAATACGACGAACCCAAGGTTAAATTAAGTCTTCGGTCCTAAATTTCGCATCTCAATGGCTTCTTAAATAATTTAGCAAAGAAAGAAACAGTTGCAGGGAATCATTAATATATAAGGAAACAGACAGCGTATAAGTTCCGTACAGTCGTCTTTGAAGTCTCATCCTTTGTGGGTTACCCTGTATATGAAATGATAAATATCATGGTTTTGCAATAAACTACATGAGGGATTCTTTTCACATGCCCTATTCTTTCACGGACAATACACATTTTTATCTCTGAAAGCATGTATTGTATTCAGTGATCAAATTATAACCGATTTTGCAAGGATATAATGCATAATCAGGTATATTAACCAATATATATAGGTTGTCCCAAAATACTATAAATGAAAACAGTTCACAGTAAATTTAATCAGAAATAATTTAAAATTTTTTATTTTTTCAATCAAAAATGACGTTTCTAACAATGCAGATTTTTGTGACAGCCTTGAAAGATGAATAGTTTCTTAATAATACATATTCAAAGATTAACCTTTGTACTCCCTACCTGTCCGTTCAATGCAGAGGCCAATTTTCTATACAGAGAGAGGTAGTAAGAAATCACCATCATGTATATTCAATATACAGGGTGTCCCAGATCAAATTGAATCGGTAATGTCTCTAAATTACGATTTCCTACTATTCCAGGGGGGGTGAGCCCCCATAGCCCCCCTGAATAATCCTCTGAATTGGTAGATCATGGATGGGTTGGGATAGATTTAATATGATAGGTTGGGATACATATGATAGGATAGGAATGGATAGGAATAGAATGAATAGCATAGAATATATATGATAGGATTGTTTGGAATGGATATGATAGCATAGGTTTTAATGGACATTATAGGTAAGGCAAGATGGATATGATAGGATAGGTTGGAATGCACATGTATAGATTAGGTCTAGATGGATTTTATATGAGGGTTTAAAATGGACATGAGAGGTAGAAATAGATATTAATGTGATATATTGGAATGTATATGATACGTTAGGTGAGAATAGACATGAATATGATAGGTTAGGTCGGGATTGATATTTCAAAAGGGTTTAAAATGGACATGATATAGGTTTAGATGGATATTAATGGAATAGGTTCGGGTGGATATTAATTTGATATATCGGAATGGATAGGTTATAATAGACATGATAGGTTAGGTCGGGAAGGATATTATAGGAAGGGTTAAAATGAACATAGGTTTTAACGCATATTATTATAGAATTAGGTTGAAATTGATATGATAAGTTATAGCTAGCCATGATATGTTAGGTTGAGATGGCTATGAACGGATTGGTGGGGATTTGATTTGTAATGAAATATATCGTTAAAAAGCGTATATTTGTAGATGAGTTTACAAAATATTTTGGGTTAAGAACTGTTTGATTGAAATCAAGGTATAAAGAATTAGTTTACTAAATCGTACCTACTTTACTCAATTTTCCAAATTCAACATGTCCCCCGATTTTTCAGGGAGAGGGGATGTTCCCCCAATTTTCTAAGGGGGAACGTCCCCCCAATTTTCCTGGTGGCGTTCCCCTTCCCCCCCCATAAGCCGCCTTTGACACTGGGTAGCGTGACTGGACGGTACGATTGAATACATATACAGTACGTGTTGTACCGGCACGGATATTGCAACTTTTAGACTGGAGTGCAGTCGTCTTCCTCTTCCACAGCTGAAAGATTCTCACTGTAGAACAATTTTTTGACCCCAGTCTTTACAAACATGTATTCAGTCATAAAATACATGAGTATGTCAAATGAGTACATAATTAAAATAAGAACATGAAATTAGATGGATAGGTTTGGATGAAATACAGTAATATTTACTGCCGAGTTGATAGAAAATCATGAATATAGGAATAGACTCTAGAATATGTAAAGCTAGAGGGGCGGAAGGAATATTTAATTAAGATTTTGAAGAGTAGAACTAAAATGTCTTCTTGTATATTTGTGTTCATATTCATTGGGCCGTCATATAGATTAGATACGTTTATTTCATATATACTGGACGTCTATCTATCTATCTATCTATCTATCTATCTATCTATCTATCTATCTATCTATCTATCTATCTATCTATCTATCTACTTATCTATCTATCTAGGACAGGGTCAGGAAAGGTGTAAGTGTCATGTGACTGTCAACTGTAAAATTGATGAATGAGGAAAGTAACACCAAGTGTCTCTGTAGCTAGTTGTCTTTTCTTCTAACTCTACCAGCACCTTGATGAATAGACACATAGACAGATCGAGTAGACATACAGAGATGTTAGTAGTAACTATTTTAAATATCAACAGTTTTTTGTTATAATTTTAGAACTTTTAATAACTATTTATAACACTGTTATTTTGGTTTACAGTGTTATAAAGTTTTTGGACAGAAATTTTCTCTTAATCGAGAAGGTTCATGCCTTTTTTAACATTATAGCATGATGATTACTTTATAGCACGTCAATAATAAAATTCACTACGAAGTGATTATGAACGATAAAATCATCGTGCTATAATGATAAATTTGGTGTACATTATAGAATCGTGTTAAAAAGTAATTATCGTTCTATAATATAAAAAAAATTAGGATTTTTTGTTTTTATTTAAATAAAAATTAAACGAGTTTTACTTCAAATTGTTTTGTTAGAAAAGTTATTAAATCTTAAACAACTATTGCATTAAGACAAGAACACAAATATTTTATAAAATTGCCAGTAACACTTTTATTATAGTACTAAATAATAATCTGTATCTCGAAGGTTCTCGCCTTTAATGATTATATTTTTTCGCTCGCTAAAGCTTGGAAGAAAATATAATCTAAAAAAAACAAATGTGTAGATTGACAACACACGAAACAAAACCTCGTTTTATTGAAAAACTAGAACTAGAACTAGAACTAGAACTAGAACTAGAACTAGAACTAGAACTAGAACTAGAACTAGAACTAGAACTAGAACTAGAACTAGAACTAGAACTAGAACTAGAACTAGAACTAGAACTAGAACTAGAACTAGAACTAGAACTAGAACTAGAACTAGAACTAGAACTAGAACTAGAACTAGAACTAGAACTAGAACTAGAACTAGAACTAGAACTAGAACTAGAACTAGAACTAGAACTAGAACTAGAACTAGAACTAGAACTAGAACTAGAACTAGAACTAGAACTAGAACTAGAACTAGAACTAGAACTAGAACTAGAACTAGAACTAGAACTAGAACTANAGACTCAGGATTGTTTTATCAAACATAGAATTCTACACAGTTTTATAATTATTCATCAACTTACGAGACCAGACCAACTTTGAAGTCTTGCCTGGCCCCGACTCTTGGTCCTAGTCTGATCTTTTTGACAATTTTGCTAAGTCCTTGATGCGAAAATTTGTAATACCTGATTTTGCGCCATAAATATTTTAGTTCTTGTTTTCTTTCAATTCTTTGAAAACCCCTTTTTCTTTTTAAAGCTTTTCTTTCTTTAAGTTTTACTATTTTTCTTTCTTTAAGTTTTATTATTTTTCTTTTTTTCTCTTTTCCTTCTTTTTCCTCTTTTTTTTAGTTTCACTATACTTTGCTTTTTTTCTTCCCCCCCTGATTTGTACCCCCACCCCCTCGCCCCATTTTTACTAGATATAAAACAAATACACCAAAAATGCTGTGACGTCATTTACATACAAATCTAGAACTGTGTTTTTTGAAGTCTGTCTTTGTTGTTATCAAGCCTTCGAAATTAGGGGTTCACATGCCTCAGATGCTTCAGGGGACTTGCTGGTATTTGCATATCTATAAAATCAAACAATATATTTTTTAAAGTTAAGATTTTAATAAAATAATTTACAACAAAATTTAAAATTTTACAATACAAATGATTATAAAGACCAATTTTGCCTACAAAACATTCGGAATTTTTCATGAAAATTTCTCAAAGCGGGATGTTTTTTATTACATTTTTAGTAAATGCCCTACTCCAATTAATACTTTTAGATCAGTAACAGTCCAGGTACAACTCAATCTAGAATTCCAGGTTCTCCAATAATACCTTGGTCAGTATCAATCTGTATACGACTCTTTCTGTATTCTTAAGTATCTGTCTTACAAGATACAACTCGATCTAGATTTTAAGGTTCATCACAAATACAATAGTCAATATCATTTCGGATACAACTCTTTCTTTCTATCTATCTGTCAAGAAAGTGATTCAGGACGCTTCTTGTTTGCTAAACAAGAAACAATTAATCTTAGTGGAATATTATTCCAACTGAAATTTATTTTGATTTCTATGGTAAGTTAATGAACGTAATTACAAGTTATATATAAGCGTAGTAAGGCAAATTCCAATACAGGCTTGATGTAGTTATTTACAGGCGTAGTTTAGTTACACTGTACAACGTAACATATCTAGGCGTGTTCAGGTTTACAAATATAGGCTTACTATATTTGTTACACATTGTCCCAAGGGACAGTTAGGGAACGTAATAGCCCGCTTTCCAGGGAATCATGGGACTTTTCGAATCTAAATAGAATAAAATTGCCTGCTGTTATTAGTGGGAGGTTTAGTTTTGAACGCTTCGTAGAGATAGATTCCAGAAAACAGTAAAACCATTGCCATCATTATAAAGATGGTAAACTAAATAATTATATAGATGGTAAACTAAATCATTATGGTAAACTAAATCATTATATATAGATGGTAAACTAAATCATTATATAGATGGTAAACTAAATCATTATAAAGATGGTAAACTAAATCATTATGGTAAACTAAATCATTATATATAGATGGTAAACTAAATCATCATAAAGATGGTAAACTAAATCATTATATAGATGGTAAACTAAATCATTATATATAGATGGTAAACTATATCTTTATATATAGATGGTAAACTAAATCATTATATAGATGGTAAACTAAATCATTATATAAATGGTAAACTAAATCATTATATAGATGGTAAAATAAACCATTATATAGATGGTAAACTAAATCATTATATATAGATGGTAAACTATATCATTATTTATAGATGGTAAACTAAATCATTATATAGATGGTAAACTAAATCATTATATAGATGGTAAAATAAATCATTATATAGATGGTAAACTAAATAATTATTTAGATTGTAATTTCTTTTACTTTTTAATTTCCAAGAAAATTTAATTTACTGTGAATTTCTTGGACAATTTCTTTTGCTACGAATTTCTTAGACATTTTCTTAAAGTATGAATTTCCTTGAAAATTTAATTTTCCAAGAATTTCCTTGAAAATTAATTATAACCCATTTCTTAGAACATTTCTTTAAATGCGAATTTATTTTAAATTTCTTGAAGAGTTTAGTTCACCTGAAATCGTTCAGGGAAAAGAAAACTGCAGGCTAGTGCTGTAAACATGTTAGCTGTAGCTCCACAATACTCCTTCACAACATTATCCAACCTTGAAGCAACAACAGATTATTAGAAGTACAACAAACAAACAACATTATTCATGCTTTATTTAACGATTAGAACAACAACAATATACTAGCTGTAGCTCCACAATATTCCTTCACAACATTATCCAACCTTGAAGCAACAACAGTTTATTAGAAGTACAACATAAACACCATTATTCATGCAATTTATTTTACGATTAGAAGAACAACAACAATAGTATGTTAGCTATGGCTCCACAATACTCCTTCACAAGATTTTCCACCAATAAAGCAATACATTACTAGTAGCACGACCAAACAACATTATCCAACATTGGTGTATAGATTAAAATAACAACAACAACAACAACATATTAGTTTTAGCAAAAATAGCAGGAAAAATTTTAAAATATTTTCCAGTAAAAATGTCGAGAATAATTTTAAATCAAGTATACTAATCCTTGTGCTCACTTACCTCTTCAATATAGCTGCAACAATTAATCCACCAACTCCACCAAACAATAAGGAACCGACTAGCAACGCCTTCAAGAAAAAGAAAAGAAAAATGTGTGAACATACTGAATGAGAGTTGAACTAAGGAGAAGACCAGTGCTCTACGATAAGATAACTTATGATTGAGAGCATTAATAATTTCAATTTATTATGTGCCATTTTCATTTGTTTGACGTGGCTCCAGCAGAATTAGTTTTATTGTAAAAAATAAATAATAAATATAATAATCGTTCAATTATTTTGAAATTACTGTAATGATTTTAAGACGTTTATCCCTTGCTTCGGTATACCATGTCTTGTTTACAATCTATATGTTATTGTTCAAAATTAAACTATATTTTGAATTCTGAGCTGTTTCTTATCTAAAAATTCAAGGTATTTTTAATACATTTTTAAAAAAGATTGGCTGGAACATAGTTTTGAGTGTAACTGCATGCTAAACTTAAATTTTCTCAAAAATTTTTGAAAATTGTGTTTTGAAGATAACCCAGGGAATAGGATAACCCAGGGAATAGGATAACCCAGGGAATAGGATAACCCAGGGAATAGGATAACCCAGGGAATAGGATAACCAAGGGAATAGGATACCCAGAGAATAGGACAATCCAGGGAATAGAATAACCCAGGGAATAGGATAACCCAGGGAATAGGATAACCCAGGGAATAGGATAACCCAGGGAATAGGATAACCTAGGGAATAGGATACCCAGGGAATAGGATAACGAAGGGAATAGGATAACCCAGAGAATAGGATAACCCAGGGAATAGGATAACCATGGGAATAGGACAACCCAGAGAATAGGATAACCCAGGGAATAGGATAACCTAGAGAATAGGATAACCTAGGGAATAGGATAACCCAGAGAATAGGATAACCCAGAGAATAGGATAACCTAGGGAATAGGATACCCAGGGAATAGGATAACCTAGGGAATAGGATAACCCAGTGAATAGGATAACCCAGAGAATAGGATAACCATGGGAATAGGATAACCCAGAGAATAGGATAACCCAGTGAATAGGATAATCCAGTGAATAGGATAACCCAGAGAATAGGATAACCATGGGAATAGGATAACCCAGAGAATAGGATAACCCAGGGAATAGGATAACCCAGAGAATAGGATAACCTGGACGAATTCTGAAGACTGGAAAATATCTCCTGTAATATTCAGACTGTTGGTAGTAAATGTAACCATATGCACAACACATCCTATAGATAGATAGATTGATTAGATAGAATAGATAGAATAGATAGAATAGATAGAATAGATAGAAAATAGATAGAATAGATAGAATAGATAGAATAGTTAGTAAGTAGTAGTAAGTAATTATTTATTTTTGAAATATAACAAAAACATACAAAATTAAGTGTTTCGGGAGAAAATATTTTAAACCTCCAAAAAAAGAGGTTGCGGGAAAAAATATGAAAATAGAAATTTAAGGAAAAGTAAAATAAAAGTTATGTATTTATTGTTTACACTATATTTAATATAAACTGGTGGAGGATTCTTAATATTTTTCGACGATGAACTAACAACTTTCAGAAATATAAATGATAGATTTATTTGTATTGTTAAACAACTTTAAAATAAGCTTTTTGGGTTGTGAAAAAAGATATAGGTTTTACGCAAAACGGGCATTTTTAGCATCTTTTTATTTCGCGCCGATTTTCGATATCTTATGTTTGATTATATCTTTTACTCTTTTTAATCTTTTTAGTCTTTTCTTTGTAAAACTCCTTCTTTTGCAAACATAGCATGTGTTAGAATTAAAACATTTTTTGCTGATAACAATCTATAATTAAATTCTATTTAAAATTCGAAATAAGATTGATATTTGAAAGCTTAGAAAAGTGCTTAGAATAGATAGAATTGATAGATTTGATGGAAAAGGTAGATTAGATAGTATAGATAAAATAGATAGATTAGATAGATAGAATATATAGATTAGATAAAATAGAGTACAGTAAGACCCATACAACAGTGAATTATGAAAACAACCGTATATTTGCTCTATAACAACATCAAAATTCGACTTAACTGTATAGTCTTCCTATTCCACAGTTATATGGGTCTTACTGTAGATACAGTGAAACCCTTAATAACGAATACATCGAAAGAATTCATCAAATGTCGTATTCTTCACTTTCTGATAATGGAATGTTGCAGATATTTAGTTTTTTTATTAAATGATTATATGGAACTCTTTAAAACTGTTCCCGCATATTCATGGCTAATTATTTATTTATTTTCGCAAATACTGAAATTTACGAAATGTAGTATTAAACTCATTGAAAAATTGTCAAGACGACATTTAAAATTAATTCTTCCGATGTATTTGTTATTAAGGGTTTCACTGAAGAATATTTCAAAAATTAAAATGTCGTCAGTATGCATCTCATAAGTTATGGCTAACCCTGCATTTTATAAAAAAAATATTACCAACAATCATCCCGTAGAAGTACAACCAGAATTGTTGATCCAAGAAGTTTTCTCCTTCTTTCTGAAATAAGACGACATTTATATTGTTCCCCCTTTCTTCTTCCCTGAAAGAGACTGAAGGAGGAGGACAGTTAAATAGTTTTAAAATGGCTTCAAGGTTGGTGAAAAAATCTGTTTCCTCAGTAAATCAAATGATTTTTTTAAAGTTCATAAATTTTTCTGGTTCAGAAATATTTAAGATTTTCGGTTATTGGCAAGCACTTGCCATCTAACGGAATATTGGCAAGCACTTGCCATCTAACGGAATATTGGCAAGCACTTGCCATCTAACGGAATATTGGCAAGCACTTGCCATCTAACGGAATTCTAAGATGATTTGAAAATAAAGTGTTTAATAGAAAGATGACTAAATTATTATGGACACAACATAGTCAAAAGAATTTATGAAATACAGCAAATTTGCAATTCAACTTGGCTTTCAAGCAACTTGTAAAACTATTTGCTTAGTAACAGCATCAAATACGCAGAATAAATAGTTTTAAAATGGCTTCAAAACTAAGGTTGGTGAACAACCTCAGTAAATCAAATGATTTTTTTAAAGTTCATAAATTTTTCTGGTTCAGAAATATTTAAGATTTTCGGTTATTGGCTCGCCATCTATTTGAATACTAAGATGATTTGAAAATAATATGTGTGACTCATTTAATAGAAAGATGACTAAATTATTATGGACACAACATAGTCAAAAGAATTTATGAAATACAGCAAATTTGCAGTTCACCTTGGCTTTCAAACAACTTGTAAAACTCATAGATAAAGATAGATTGCGCATAAGACGACATTTTTCATCTTGAAAGATATAAATGTACAGAGATGTTTTAAAGATATTTCTATTATATTATAGATTAACTAGGTCGGTTTTGAACATTGTCTGTTCTTATGTCATTGAGTACTTGTGGTGTACATGAGTTCTGTAGAGAGAAATTTAAGTTAGTACAGTCCTTCTCATGTCCTTCTTTAGTTCTCGTCAATATGATATATTGCTCAATGATATTCTCAAAATAAAATTCACTCCAGAGTGGTTTAATAATTATGAAATCCATTAAAACACCAAACCACCCACTTATCATTGAAGTACACTTTGACCCCTAGAAGTATGAGTTCTCGGACTGTACAATTCTTTTGCGTACATAATCTATCTATGTTTATTTATTTATCTATGGTAAAACTATTTGCTTAGTAACAGCATCAAATACGCAGAAGATCGTCTTCTTATTGTCAAGTTATATTGATCTCACTGTAGTTCCAGGTTTAAATAATAAAATCAATCATATCCCTGTCTTCAACTTATCAAAGACAATTCGACTTAACGGAAACTAAAAATAATTTAAAAGAATCTTATAAAATTGCTAAAACATGAATGACTAAAATAAAAAGTTTTGTTTGGCATACAATTTCATCAGAGAATTTTCAATCAATTAAAGTGAATTTTATTTCTACCTTAAAAAGTGATTCCGTGTATAGAGCTGCTCCCACCGAATTTAAAGATGCGATTGCTGCTAACAGGAAAGCAATTGGAGGGATTCCAGGGCCCGTAGAGCTACCAAGTATATCACCTAAGAAAATAAATTTTTATGATCATTTAAACCCTTTAAACCCTTTAAACCCTTTACACCCTTTAAACCCTTTAAACCATTTAAACCCAAACCCTTTAAACCCATTAAACCCTTCAAACCCTTTAAACCCTTTAAACCCTTTAAACCCTTTAAACCCTTTAAACCCTTTAAACCCTTTAAACCCTTCAAACCCTTTAAACCCTTTAAACCTTTTAAATCTTTTAAACCCTTTAAACCCTTTAAAACCTTTATTGTAAATTTTACATAACTACTTTAAACCCTTTAAACCCTTTGAACTCTATAAACACTTAAAACACTTAAAACACTTAAAACCCTTTAAACCCTTCAAACCCTTTAAACCCTTTAAACCCTTTAAACCCTTTAAACCTCTTAAACCTTTTAAACCCTTTAAACCCTTTAAACCCTTTAAACCCTTTAAACCTTTTAAACCCTTTAAACCCTTTAAACCCTTTAAACCCTTTAAACCTCTTAAACCTTTTAAACCCTTTAAACCCTTTAAAGCCTTTAAACCTTTTAAACCCTTTAAACCCTGTAAACCCTTTAAACCCTTTAAACCCTTTAAACCCTTTAAACCTTTTAAACCTTTTGAACCCTTTAAACCCTTTAAACCCTTTATTGTAAATTTTACATAATTCTCAGTATTCATTAAAATAAATAAATAGCCATAAATATCCGGGAACAGTTTTACAGAGCTCCATATAATTATTTAATTAAAAAACTAACTATCTGCAACATTCCAAACATTCTATTATCAGAAAGTGAAGAATACGACATTTGATGAATTCTTTCGATATATGACTTATCTCGGGTTTAACTGTAGCAAGGTCTTTTTTTTACTTTGTTTTATGGACAAGTACCACAACTATAAAAATAATTAATTTTTAACGAGAAAAGTAATCTGTGATGAGAAGAAGGTTTAAAATTGGGGCCACTTTACCTAATTTAGCAACAACAATGCTTAGAACAATAGCTGTTGCTCCACAAAACTGCATTTTTGTAATATCTCGTTGAAGCGCAAACTGGAAAAAAATTATCTTTGAATAATGTAAAAAACTATCGGTCTTTCTATCTACCGTATATTTAATCTGTAAAACAACACCACAGTATACAATCACTTTGACACTTTGTACCCTATAGTACACTCACCTTACATTATGTACATAATAATACATTCACTTGTACTCTATGTACCCTAAAGTACACTCATTTGTACACTATGCACACAATAGTACAATATGGACCTAGTATACATCCATTTGTGCACTTTGTTCCGAATATTACACCCATTTAGACACGTCGCACACATTGGTACACTTATATGTACACTTTGTACATAACAGTACACTAATCTGTACACTATATGTACATAATATTACACTCAGCTGTAAATTATGTACATAATAGCACACTACCGTTTACACTATGTACCCAAAATACATCCATGTGTATTCTATGTATATACAAAAGTACACTAACCTGTATACAATCGGTATACATTACAATAGCACACTCACCTGTATGCACTACAGATGAAAGTGCTATTGTACGTCCATAACAACAGCCAACTGTACCCAATGTACTAAACAACACTGACCTTGTACAGCGAAGCTGTTACAACTGTTCTGAATGAAGTAAGAATAATCCAAATTGGCGGAGGAACCAACATCAGCCCGGCGAAGTAAATGTTGTTGTTGATGGCGTACATGACGGAGGGGAGGAGGAACTTCAAGGACTGCTTCAAGTTGTCAGGACGGAAGGAAGGAGGAGTAAAGCCAGACCTAAATGATAGTCAATCAATCAATCAATCATTCAATCAATCAACGTCCAATGAACATTAAATGCAGCAATTTTTCAGAGAACAAGATACAACAGGCCAACTACACTTGATTTTCAATCTACTGGCAGGGGCGGATACAGGATTTAAGTGAGGGGGGGGGGCAAGATTTTTTAGGAACAAAAAAATTAATAATTAGGAACAAAAAACCGTGCTGGAGGCGAAAA